GCTTGTTCTATTGGGATGGGGTATGTTCTCATCCTAAATCATGTAGGAATAAAGGAATTTGTGTTAACAGTGATTTTTCATTATGATGTACTAGTGTATCAAACATTCTTATTTTCCTGGAGTAAAGAGTAATGACTTGATTGTGCTTACAAATCATGTTTACAGCATTTATGAACATAGCTAAGCTGAACATATCTTCTTTAAAAGTTTTATTATTGGGATGGGGAGGGACATGCACTCACACACACACTTACATACATACCACATACATACCCACCCCCCACCCCCAGAGAGAGAGAGAGAGAGAGATAAAAAAATTTGTTTTATTATTTTTCTTTTTAAATTTATTTTTATTCATGTGTATGAATGTGTGTCTATATGAGTATATGCCACAGGTCTACAGGTGCCTGCAGCAGCCAGAAGAGAGTGTCAGATTCCCTGGAGTTGGGGTTACAGGTGGTTATGAGCTTCCCCATGTAGGATCTGGGAACTGAACCCAAGTCCTCTGCATGAGCAGTCAGCGCCTTTAACCACTGAACCATCTCTTCAGCCCAGCCCTCAAAAGTGTTATTGTTAGAGCTGCACTTCACACTCTGCCTAGACAATCCAGCCATCTGGATGAGAATAACTATGTAGTTTTAAAAGCTCATCTGAAAAATTTCTAAGTTACCAAGTGTTCACCATATTTACCTTTCTGCAGGAAGAACACTGTGCAAGCATAACAATCAATGTAATACCATTGTTCTTTACTCCTAAGAATTACACTGCTATAAAAATTATATTATCTTTTGAAATAAAATATTAAAGAAATGTTTACAAATAATAGATCACAAGGGCAAAAACTTTTTTTGAAGCTGGAGGGCCATTTTATTAGACTTTGAGAGAAAAATAGCAGGGCAGGCAAACTGCAAATCTTAGCAGCTGCCAGAAGGAGGAAGACAGGGAAGAGGATGAGAAGGAAGCCATGCTTTCTGAGCTAGAGCTAAGTCTGCAAGCAGCTGCACTGGGGGCCAAGGGTGTCCTTAGAGAAAGAGTGAGAGTGCCCAGAGCATCAGGTCAAGCATGCTTAGCGTTCTGACTAATAGCTGAAAAAGGAAGACAGAAGGGGAGAAAAGAAAAAGTTAGGCTTTTTGAGAACTAAGGAAAGCAGGCGGGCTTAGCAGTGAAGCTCTGTGACAGTATAAACTGCAGCATTTGAAAATTTCACATACTTGAGAAATAATGAAATGTTAATTTTAATGCTTTTTACATGGGTATTTTTAAAATTAGCACACTTGATCTCACAGAAGGTGAGTGTATAGGATTCCAAATTTATAGTGAAAATGGGTGGTTCTGTTTTGCTTTATATACAGCTCTTGAAATAGAACCCCTACCTTACTTAGAACCAAAGCCAGGCCCATCACATTTATAATAAAATCTGGCCTCTTGAGTGTAGCCAGGGGGCCTGGTTTCAGCTCATCTCTTCAACCTCATCCAAGCTTCTCTTGTCCTCATCTGCAGGTCTCCTCAGGGCCTCTTCTCCTGCATCACTGCCCTTTCCTGGCTCCCTGCCATTTGCCAATACCCTCATCTGCAGGTCTCCTCAGGGCACCTGCCTCTTCTCCTGCATCACTGCCCTTTCCTGGCTCCCTGCCATTTGCCAATACCATTGGGTCTCAGTTGAAAAGTCACCTCCTCAGACCCACTTCTTAGATTCCCCTCCCTTCTATTCTCTAGGCTTATGTACCTCTTTCATGATACTATCATTTATACTGTGTACATTTGGTTGTCTGCCTGTTTTTAGTAAGCACCAGAAATATCCTTATGATTAAGCACCATGCAGTGGGGACTATTCCATTGATCACTCTTTACCTGACACCCAGAGATGTGTCCTTTCACTGAAGGTAAATAGGTTTGCCCCTGTAATATTTACATATTTCAGGTGGAGGGGTTGGAATTGTTTTTCCACTCTGGCTTTGTTTGGGCTGTAGGTCCCCAGCCCTCACTCCACTATAAGTAAAAACAACCTTCAGCCTCCTTTGTGAATTCTGAACAAAAATTGTTCCCTGCTTCTGAACAAAAATTGTTCTCTGCAAAAGATTCAGAAAAACAGATTACTGGTAAAGTATAAATAACTTATAAGCCTTTTCTATTCCTTTTCCAGAGATATGTATTTAAGGGTTGTGACTTTCCAGGCACTTAATTGTCACTGTGAACTCTTGGCATCAGTTCTCTCCATCTGTTTCTCATAGTACAACCCACCAATATATTTGTAATGGAATTAGGTCTTTGAAGGAAGGGGCTATGGATATTTGCTCGCATATCTACACATTTATTTGATTCAGCATTTGTGATGTGAGTGGTTATAGACAATGAATACGTGTGAAATGCACGATTCTGTAGTAACCTCGTTATAGAAGGAAAGTACAGATGAAACACTAATGGGCCTGAGGCCCTGGGTTCTATCCTCAGCAATGCAGACAAAACAATAACATCTGGACTCTGAAAGCTGGCAGGCCTAGACTGGCATCCCAACTCCGCCATTTAATACCCAAGCTTCTATTTCTTTATTTGCATGATAAGAACAATGGCTGTTGAGAAGGACGTGAGACTAACACATGACATTGGTTAATTCACTCTTTCAACAGATATTTATGTGTCAGGTGCTGTTTGAGGCACTAAGGATACAAGACAAGAATTCCTGTCCTGTCGTCTCAATGCTTACATTCTAGGGAAGGCAGATGAGAAATAAAACGGGGAGCATGAATTGTCTGCATGGTGTTAAGTGTTAAGGACAATAGGACAGGGAGGAAGAGGCATGCATGCATGTGGGCGGCAGACTGCATTTTTAGGTAGGGTGGAGGCTGCATTGTGAAGGTGGCAATTGGAAAAAGAAAGGGGTGGCGGGGGAGAGAACTAAGTGGATATTTGAGGAAAGAACATTCCAACAGAGTGAACTGTAACTGCCGAACTATGCACCAAACCTGTGTTCATCCTTAGGACACTGAAGGTGGTCACTGGAGTAGCTGCACTGGCATCAGTTGACACCTGTCAGACACATCTACAGGCCCTGTTCAACCTACCAAATTGTAATCTCTAAGGCTGACTCCTGGGAACCTGTTTTAACCAGTTCTGTAGCTGACTTATACTAAGAACACTGTTCTAAGGACACAAATATCGGCTTCGCAGGTGTCCCTGGCACCACATCCCTCCTAAGTAGCCGTACAACCGGGAGTCCAGGAGTACAGAATGTTCAGTGCTGCCTTATTAAAGGGCAGATTAGTGGTGCCCTAGAGTTTCTGATTTGGTGTGTTTGGTGTGGGGAGCCCCTAAGAATTTGCATTTCTAACAAGATCTCAGGTGATGCTGATGCTAATCTGGGGATCACCGAGGATCAGGCAGGAGGATCAGGTGACAGCTTGGAGGGCTGTATACCAGAGCAGAGTCCTGCCAGAGAGAGGCAAACAGTGGCTACAGCATGGAAGACGAAGGAGAGAGGACCACCTTGTTTGGGCTATACAGTGTCCCGTGGCAAAACGGTGGTGTGTGTGTATGTGTGTGTACCACTTTGCTATGTCTCCGTGGCAGCATGGCGGTGTACTGCCTTGACTGGTACTTGAGACTGAGTGGGGATGATGGAGGAAGTGATGAGCAGCGGTAAAGTTTGGTTAGTTTCAACAGTAAAGCCCAGAGAGTTTGCTAATACATTAAATGTGAAGTGTGAGGAGTGGCTTATTTCAAGATGACCTCAAGAATTTTAATCCAGGCAATGCACCTAAAGTCCCTGGTACTGTATGTGTTCAGTAAACGGTGCATTACCAATAAAAAAAAAAAAAAAAAGGAAAAAGAATATTTTGTTTTTTCAGGACACAAGTCCTAGAAAGCAGCTGCAGGAAAATACTGGACCGGGCCTGGCATGAATGGTAGGTGCTGAGGCCCACCCCTCAGGTCTCATCTAATCCTCTACAAGAAGAAAAATAATTCTCCACAGGGGAAATAAAAACCCAGGACTTACTGCTGCTTTTCCTCTCCCTCCATGGCTCCCTACGGCCTGGCACGAGGCAGCCTGGAGGCTCGGGAGGAAAAACTCCGGCCTCTAGAAACCAGGGGAGGAGCGTGAGAGCGCAGCCACTATGACTCGGCGTTACTAAGCGACGGAGGGCTCCGGGCGCGCCTCCTCGAACTCCGGGAGTGGCCGGGAGGGGAGCGCGCAGGCGCAGTAACCGCGCTCTGTTGGGCGCGCCTGCGCTTAGCGGGAGAGAGGGAGCGCGCGGGGCTCTTGCTTGTGTCCCGGGCCCCAGCTTGGATGCTCCTTGTTTGAACTTGCCCTTCTCGGGGTGTGCATGTGCCTTGGGGCCGGCCGCAGGTTCCAGGCCCGCGGCCTGCAGGACGTGACGGGGCGTCACTGCTGCGGAGCGGGCGTCGGCAGCGCGGGCAGCAAAGCAGCGTGCTTTCCCGATGTACAAACCCTGAGTCGCTGCCCCCAGCTTCCTATCCCCTTCCATGAGGAAGCTTGGCTGTCACTGTTTACCCCGGTTTCGGATAAAATCTCTGCTGCCAGACCTGTGGCAGCATTAAAATAGAGTGAGGGCACGATGCTCTGCAAATGAGGCTCCCCGTGGTGCGTGCATCTGCCCCGGGCTGCCCGGGGGTGGAGGAGGCGGCGGGGCTTGTCGCATTGCACTCAGCCAAAGAGCAAGCTCCCTGGAAAAGCCAGTGATGATTTGCGTTCACCTTGGTCCTGGAATTTCTTACTTCATTTCAACATTGCCTCCCAGTTTCCATGATCAGAGCCAAATGTCTTTGGCACAGGTTGTAGTAACTATTAAGCGTTTTCCTGCGTAAGAAAGGGAATGGCAGGAGAGGCGGTTTTATGGAACAGAATTCCGCTGTGTATGAGGCATGTGTAAGCATACCTAGCAGAGTCAGGTTGTATATTTACATTTGCCTTGGACAGTTGGAAAAAGTGGAAGATGGTCCTAGGACCGTGTACATTTGTGAGCTAAAGTCCTGTGAGGGAGAAGAATCGAAGAGACTTGACTCGTAGAGAGCTACATAACCAGAATGGTGTGTGAATGTGTGGTTGTGTGTGTGTGTTTCTGGAGGAAGAAGCAGGTGGGTAATATGGGGGAAGTGGGTTGGAGAAACAGAAAGCTGGGGGACAATGCACAACTAACAAATGCTCCCACCAGGCGTTTGTTGGACCCGGTATTAACGCCTAGATATCTAGTTTTATCCTAACCATCAGCTGATGAGGCACATAGGCCCTGGGAGCAGTGGGCGTTTGAACTGTGGCTCCACCTCTTGCTAGCTCCATGGAAAGCATCTAGCATCTCAGAGCCTGAAGTTCATTCACAAAATGTGAAAATAGCTAAGGTTATGGTGAAATACAGATAATTTAATATAGGCAGTGCACTAAAGACAGTGTCTGATGCCTAGTAGATGCTTGGTCATCATTAGCTAGTACTACTTTACAGAGTGATGTGATCTGTATGTGGTGCCACGTTTCCTTGAGATTTAGTGGGCACCATCATTTTTCCAGCTCCTAAATCCACTTAACTCAGAGACAGTCTCAATTGGCTGTTGAACAACTTTCTCTCAAAAGAATTCACCTGCACCCACACAGAATGAGAGTTGTTTGCCTCTAATCCCAGCACTCGGGAAGATGAGGGAGGAGGATCACTTCCAGTTTAAGGGCACTCGGAGTGAGACTCTATTAAAAAAAAAAAAAGTTTTACTGACAAAAAAAACAGACACATAAAGCAGAGGAAGAGCTACGGGACCCAGATATAAACCCACACAACTAAAGCCACCTGTTTTTGACCAAGATGCCAAAAATGCACATTATAGGAAAGATAGTCTCATCAACTAATCGTGCCAGGGGAAACTGGGTATTCAGATGTAGAAGAACGAAACTAGATCAGTATCTCTCACCCTGCACAAAAAATCTGTTTCAAAGGGATCAAAACCCTTAATGTGAGACTTGAAACTGTTAGAGGAAAAGTAGGGAAAAGGTCAAGACATAGGACTTTCTCAGTAGGACTCTGGTTGCTCAGGGGAAAAGCTTAGCAGTTGATAAATGAGACCTCCTATAATGAAAAAGTTTCTGTGCAGCAAATGAAGCAGCTAAACTATGGAATGAAGAGGCAGCCCACAGAATGGGAAAAACAATCTGCTAGTTATACATCTTACAGAGGATTAATATCTAAAGTGTACAAAAATAACCTCAAAAAACTAAAAATGAGGGCCTGGAGAGATGGCTCAGCGGTTAAGAGCACTGACTGCTCTTGTAGAGGACCCAGGTTCCATTCCCAGCACCCACATGGTGACCCACATGAACAATCCTTAACTCCAGTTCCAGGGAAATCTGAAGCCCTTTTCTGACCTCCGCGGCATTGCATGACACGGGTGCACTCACATACATGCAAGCAATACACTCAAAATAAAAATAATAAAATATTTTTAAAAAACTAAAAATGAAATTGAACAACCCAATCAATAAACAGGCTAGTAAAATAGTTCTCAAAACATAAAATACAAGTAGCAAATAAACATAGGAGAAAATGTTCAATCTCACTAGCCATCAGAGAAATGCAAATTAAATTTATATTAAAATTCCATTTTATCCAGTCAGAATGTCAGTCATTAAGAAAACAAACAGCAAATGCCAGTAAGGATGTGGACAAAAGGAAACCCTATACACTGCTTGTGGGAATATAAACTAGTCCAGCCACTATGGAAATCAGCTTGGAGATTTCTCAGAAAACTAAAAATAACTATATGACCCAGCTATACCCCTCCTGGGCATATACCCAAAGGACACCAAACCAATATGCCACAGAGATACTTGTACGTTCATGTTTATTACAGCACTATTCACAATAGCCAAGTTATAAGACCAAACTAGATGTCTAACAACAGTGGAAAGAATAAAGAAAAAGTGTGTATGCATGTGTGTGTGTGTGTGTGTGTGTGTACAATGGGATTTTTCAGCCATGAAGAATGAAGTTACGTTGTTTGCAGGAGAATGGATGCAAGTAGAACATTAAGTCAGTCTCTGAAAGATAAACCTTGTGTATTTTGTCTCATTGGTGGGGACTAGATTTCATGTAATTACATAAACCATGCAAGTATATAGAAAATGAAAGAAGTAAAATAATCTAGAGGACAATGGTGAGGGGAGGGAGGAGAAAAGAGAGGGCAGGGGAAGTATGCTCAATACACAATTTATACATACCAATGCCAATTGTGTGTCAGTGTGTGATATGTGTTATATGTGTGTGTGAAGCATGTCCATGAATGTGTAGGTGTATGTATCCTTGCACTCACATGTGGAAGCCAGAAAGGATGTCCTGTGCCTCCTCTATCACTCTCTGCCTTAGTGCCTTGAGACAGGGTCTCTCACTGAACCACTAGCTTGCTGATTCTGCTAGGCTGACCAGCCAGGGAACGTTCAGGATCCACCAGTCTTCACCTCCCAATGCTGGGATTACAGGTTTGTGCAGCCATACCCAGTTTCTTATGTGGTGCTGGAGATTTGAACTCAGGTCCTCATGCCTGTACAGGAAGCACTCTTGTTCACTGAGCCATCTCCCCAAACCCAGTGCATTAAAACTTTTTTAAACTAAGGAAATTGTGCTTATCACAAGGTAGTCACAGTCCTAGGGACACAAAGCATTCAGATAGGAAGAATTTGTCAACAAAGCTATAATGATACATAACAGCATTACAGAACGGATAGTTAATGTGTTAGATTTCAGTACTTATGATAATATTATATTATAATCCAGCTTTTCTTGGGTGCATGCTCTGTAACTCATTGCATATTATGGATTTTATAATAGACTTTTTAATGCAGAAAAACCACTGGACTGGCATTAGTGGTTTTTCCTTATAATTATTTGACCTAGGGGATAAACTTCAAGTTCTCTCTACTGTAGATTTTCTCTTATAAAAGAAAGGTAGCAAGATTAAATCATCATTACAATCTTTTCTAGACAGAAAATACTGTGATTCTATTGGAAATTTTTATCTGAAAAAAATCAGTAAACATTAGCCTAAATAATAATTTAATTAATCTCATTTATGATAGTTAGTTTGGATACTTGTCAATAAAGAATAATTAAAGTTGTCTATTTACTAGTGTTGTCCAATTTAAAAACACCAGAGCTGGGCTGAAGAGATGGCTGTGTTTAAGAGCACTGGTTGCTCTTGCAGAGGACCCAGGTTCAGTTCCCAGCACCCACATGGAGTCTAACAGTCTTTAATTCCAGTTTCAGTGTATCTGACACCCTCTTCTGGCCTCTGCAGGCATTGCACACATGAGTCCACTTACATGCAGTCAAAACACTTATACACATACATAAAATAAAAATAAATTAAAATACCATAGTTAACATACCATATGTGAGGAATCACAGGAGAATGGAAATTACTATAGATGGTATAAATGAAGAAAATTATTAAAAAAAATTTTTTTTTTTTGAGACATGGTCTCCCTGTAGTCCCAGCTGGCCTGGAACATAGACCAGGCTGGCCTCCATTTCACAGAGATCCACCAGCCTGTTCCTTTCAAGCGGGATTAAAGGCATGTGCCACCATGTCAGACTTCAGTTGTTTTTATTTTTAAAAAATCACAGTAAAGTGCTAAAAATACTGAGTGACACAGTACCATAACCTTATATAAAACTGCAGCAAGGGAGATCCATTTCCCCACAGCCTTTTCTCCAGTAATGTGCTTTGGCTACAGGAAAAGATGTCAAACACATGGCCCAAACAATAGCTAGCCTGAATTCTATTTTTAAAAAAACAGGTAAGTTGTTTGCCTCATACACACGTGATACAAGGATTAAATGAGAAAAATTCATTTGAGAGCTTATCCAGGCACATGGTAGCACTCATTCAAAGTTAGCTGTCAATATTATTCTTGTATGTGATTAGTAAGGTGGGAGATTTTTTTAAGGATATGCATTGTGGTGTTTACTTCATTTCCTTGGACTGTAAGAATGTTATGAGATTAAAACAGACTAATTCTAAAG